AAACCGACTACAGGGTCAAATTCAAGAGTGCCAGGTCAATGTTGTTTGACAATAGTTTAGTCAATGTTATAAGTACGCATGTAATTATCTATTGAGTCATTGACCTTTATCATACAACGCCTTAAAGGGTAAAGTGATTCATAATCTAAAATGCAAGACTTAGTACTGATTAAAACGTTCAATAAATCCTCAGTATAGTATTAAGTTTATGGGTAGAAACACAATAATGGGTTAAATATGTCAAACAACAAATAATGTATTTCGAGTCTATATTAATGATTCTAGGGTAAAATATATAACATATTTTAAAGACACTATTCTTGTATGAGTAAACCTTTTTTCCGAAAAAAAAGTAAAATATTTTGTATATTAACTGATTCATTCCTGGGTTGTTTATAATTCCGTTTTGTTTGTTTTGATTTAAAAAGGCTTAAGCACGACTACCAGACAAAAACAAGAAGACAAGTTTTAATTGGGTCAACGGCAACAGCGTTACATTCACTGCATGGTAATAAACTTGTGTGATACTACTTAACAACAATTTTGAAACAAATTATATTTCATTCATATCGACTTTATGCAGATAGTCTATAGTGCCTTAAATTTACAAACTTTTTAATTTACCCAGTACGAAGGTAAAATTCAGTTTTTTGTTTGAATATTTTATAAAGTAAATTTACTCTTTATATTTTCTTTCATATTTTTATAGTTTGTCCCTAGATAATTTTCTGTTACTTTGAAATAAAAATTTCAGATGAGACCGTCGGTTCAAATGACTAGAAGTTCTTTAAGATTGTAGTCATTTTTTTATTTTTAATCCCCTTATGGTTAACCGGATTGGACTTTAGGTTTACCCTCCGTCCGTCCGCCCGTCTGTATGTCTGCTCTCACGGGACAGTAATAATGTGACTAGAGGAACAATAGGTTACTGTTCTTTTTAGCACATCAAATGGGTCCAGAGATAACGCAAAAAGTGCTGAAAATATTTGTATGAAACTTGAAAAATAGGTTGATGGCAGTCTGGAGATTATGCACATCCTGTTTTTCTATGTTGAAATTCGGGTAAATTTGGCAACAAATTGACTGAATTTTAAGAGTTCTAATTCTAGTTTTTACGCTTTTCCACTATAAGTACTAAATTTCTTAAGGCATTTACTTCAAACTTTAAATATAAGTTTTTAGTCATCAACCGCATCATATGTGACAAGGTTTACAACTCTGGCACACAATTTATCAGAATAACCTCTCTTGTTAATCAATTCTTTATTTCTTAATGTATCTACAAACTTGACATATATGTTTCGTATTATCACACAACATTTGTGAGGTCCGCAATTATGTCCCTTTGAACATAGACTATTTTTTTTAAATGGTATTTTTTTACACCAATTTCTTCATTCCTTGTAGAATTTACTTCAAACTCCCACATCATAATATTATTACAAGATTTATAAATCTAGATAATATTTCCAGAATTATCTCCTTTTGACTTTTTTCTTACTCATTCTTTAACACTTTCTTATTTCTTCATGGATTTACTTCAAATTCAAAATAAACATTCATTATTAAAACCTACATTTTATTTTTTTATATTTGTATGCCACCGCAGCATCTGCGATGCGGTGGCATATAGCGATTCACCTGTGTGTGTGTGTGTGTGTGTGCCATATAGCGATTCACCTGTGTGTGTGTGTGTGTGTGTGTGTGTGTGTGTGTGTGTGTGTGCGTGTGCGTGTGCGTGTGCGTGTGCGTGTGCGTGTGTGTTATATAGATTATATAGTGAACTTAAAAAATCTTCTTGTGAAAAACGACTAGTCCAATTTCAACCAAACTTGGCAGGATTGTTCCTTGGGTAAAGGGCTTCCAAAGTTGTTCAAAGAATTTCATTCCATGCAGAAATCTGGTTGCCATGGCAACCAAAAGGAATTATAAGAATAAATTTAAAAAAGCTTCTTGTAAAGACCCAAAAAGCCTAGAGCTTAGATATTTTGCATAAGGCATTTTCTGGTAGACATCTAACAAGATTGTTCAAATTATAGCCCTGGGGTCAAAATTGGCCCTGCCCCGGGGGTCATTGATTTTCACTATATACATATAGTAAAACCTTAACATACCTTCTTGTAAAACACCAAAAGGCATTGAGCTTAGATATTTTGCATAAGGCATCATCTGGTAGACCCTTACCAAGATTGTTCAAATTATAGCCGTTGGGTCAAAATAGGCCCCGCCCCGGGGTCATTGATTTTCGCTATATGTACATATAGTAAAAACTTAAAACACCTTCTTATAAAGACACAAAAGGCCTAGAGCTTAGATATTTTGCATAAGGCATTGTCTGGTAGACCTCTACCCAGATTGTTCAAATTAAAGCCCTGGGGTCAAAATCGGCCCCACCCCAGGGGCCATTGGTTTTCATTATATGTATATAGTAAAAACTTAAAAAAATTCTTCTAGCAATTGACAAATGCTAGAGGTTAGATATTTTGCATGGAACATTGTGTTGTAAACCTCTAGCAAGATTGTTCAAATTATAGCCCTGGGGTCAAAATTGCCCCCGCCCTGGGGGTCATTGATTTCAATATATACATATAGTAAAAAATAAAAAAAATCTTATTGTCTGAAGGTACAAGGCTTAGAGCTTTAATATTTGTTAAATAATATCATCTAAAGGTACTCTACCAAAGTTGTTCAAATTTTGCCTCTTGTGTCAAAATTAGCCCCGCCCCTGGGGGCCATAGGTTTATCTAATATGTATGTAGTTAAAACTTAAAAAATCATCTTCTCTAAATTTACAAAGGAAAGAGTTAAGATATTTTTTGCATGAAACATTGTGTAGTGAACCTCTAGCAAGATTGTTCAAATTATAGCCCTGGGGTTAAAATTGGTTCCGCCCCGGGGGTCATTGATTTTCATTATGTACATAGAGTGAAAAAAAAATTGTCTGAAGGTTCAAGGCATAGAGCTTTGATGTTTGATATATAATTATCATCTATAGGTCCTCTACCAAAGTTGTTCAAATGTCAAAAATTGGCCCTGCCCGGGGTCAGTGATTTCTCATTATGTACACGTAGTAAAATAAGAAAATAAAACAAACGTTTTCTGAATGGGAGAAAGCTATAGCTTAGATTTTTGACTTGAAATGTTGTTTGGTGGACCTGTATCAAGATTGTTATTAAACCCTTGGGTCAAAATTATGCCTTGCCCAAGGGAACAGTGACCTACTTTCGTGTCCTTTGATGTACAGCAATGGCGTTTTGACCATGTGTACAGTTTTAGTTGTAAAATTGAACTTTGACCTAGATTTTGATGATGTGACCTACTTTCTTGTCCTTTGATGTACAGCTATGAAATTTGAACCATGCGGTGGCATAGCATTTTTCTCAAATGCAATCTTGTTTATCTTTGTTACTACTACACATGTTAATGGTATACTTCAAAATTGTTTTTTTATTACATTTCTTATTTGTGACTATAAGTTGTATCTTTAAACTTGAAATACGAGGGGTGTTCAAAAAGTTTTGAGACTGTAGCAATGAAATAAAAACAACAATATATATCATTTTTTTTTCTATTTTAATCCCTCAAAATAGTTTCCATGAACCCGAATGCACTTCTGAAGTCGATCTATCCACCTCCGGAAAGCGTCAGAGTAGTTCCCCTTGGGGATACCCAAAAGGCACTGGTAGAGGGCACTTTCCAGCGCGCTGTGTGATGCGTAACGCCGTCCAGAAAGCCGTTTCTTGACTTCGGGGAAGAGAAAAAAGTCGCACGGACTTAGATCGGGAGAATAAGGGGGGTGCTTCACTTGTACAATTTTTTCTTCCTCGATGAACCTTTGTACTATATCACATTTATGAGATGAAGCGTTATCATGAATGAGGTACAACCCTCTTAAACCAGTTCTTGGACGACGATTTTCATAAAACGCATTGACACGTTTCAAAATCTTATCCCGGTAGAACTTTCCAGTGACAGTTTTCCCTCCTGCAACTGCAACTTGTACCACAGGGCCTTGCGAATTAAAGAAAACCGCATACATCACTTTTTTAGCGCTCTTAGTCCTTTTAGCAATGGTGGGTCTAGCTTGGTCCTTGCGGAGCCATTGCTTGTTGTTTATGCGTCTCTGGGGCTCAAAATAGTAGATCCATGTTTCGTCTCCCGTAATCAGTTCATTTATTTTCCTTGAATTGAGATTTTTGAATTTTTTCAATGTTTCTTTCGCAAGACGCACTCTTTCCTTTTTCTGGTCCTCGGTCAGGAGATGGGGTACCCATCTTGCACAAACTTTTCTTAAATTCAATTCCTTCGTCAGAATGCTCTGAATGGTACCCGTTGATAAGTTCAAATAATAAGCTATCTCGCGTACCGTGTACCGAGCATCATCTATTATTAGATTTTTCACAGCAGCAATGTTTCTTGAAGTGATTGCTGTCTGAGGTCTGCCAGAACGGTTCCTGTCTTTGACATTATCCAATCCATTGGTGAATGCTTTGAACCACCTGTACACAGTGCTTTTCGAAACACTATTGATTCCAAAGTGACTATGCACTTCATTCAGAATCTTCTCAGCAGTAATTCCTAAACTACACCGCACTTTTATGTATCCTCGAATCTCTAATTTCTCACTAGGTTTCATATTTACATGTACAAATGACCAGTGTATACGAGTATATGATAAATAATACACAATAACTTTTAAACGCATGATTTGATTTCAATGAAATTTTACTCAATTGTCATCGAAAGCCTAACAATAAGATCTCGTGAATTTCGTGCAAATTGAATGGTAATTTTCTACGGAAGCACATTAGTCTCAAAACTTTTTGAACACCCCTCGTAATTTTTCTATGTTACACTCACATCATGTATGACAATGTTCTTAAATCTAGCATCTTTATTTCAAGAGTTATCTCCTTAAGAATTTTGCTTTAAAAATGTAATTTTGGTAACAGGGGTGTTTTAAAAACAACTTTAGAGTCTCCTGCAGTCTGTCTGTTCATAAGAACTGTTTTCTGAGATTTTTTTTAAAAATTTGTTCCAACTAATTTACTTAAAATTGAGAAAAGTTGAAACATTAGTTATACCTATTCATCCTGAGAAAATTGGACCTTTTGATTATCTGTTTTATAAACATAAGTTCCTTTATAAGCAGGTAAACATAACACATTACTATGGTATAGACAAACTTAGAAGTCCATTCATGTCATTCATTCAATAGTAAAATTGAAAAGCCGATGGCCAATCATAATGTTGCTGGGGTTCTAACCGATAGGGTACTTATGGATTTCTTGCAATACCATCATATAATTGCCTGTGTTTTTAAATTATTTATTTTTACTTGTATGATATTTGTTTAAAATCTCTACTCTTATCAGTTTTGTTGAATAGTTATGAGAGAAGGAAAGGGCGGGGAC